CAGGTCACATCTGGCTCATGGGCTCTATTTTGCCCACCCCTGGATTAAAGGGAGTGCTGGAAACCAGGATGGGAGGTACTGGATGGGACATAGCTAGGTTGCCAGACCAGTAACTACAGGCTGGGACTATGTGGAGAGATGGTGGGCAGTTACATCAGGGAGGCTCTTCAAACTTGGAAGCTAAGTGCTAGGGGAAAGAAGCCATAAGAATATAAAAGTTCTGTACTGAGTCAGACCAGTGATCCATTTAGCCTAATATCCTGTGTCTGACAGTGGCAGGAGTGGATGCTTTAGAGGGAGAGCATTGAATTAGATCTAACAGGATCTATTTTCTGGTTTTTCACTCCCTGGCATACACCATCATTGGTTTAGAGATGCCAGAGGAAACATCTCTGACTGTTCTGTTTAAGAGCTGTTAATAGATCGATCAGCCATGAATTTGTAGTCCTGTTCAAACCTGGCTACACTAGCTACTTCTATAATCTCTTGCGAGTTCCACTGGATAAATCATAGAATCATAGAAGTTGGGTCAGAAGGGACCTTGTAAATCTGACCCCCTGCCTGGGCAGGAGAAAAACTGGGCTCAAATGACTCCAGCCAGGTAGGCATCAAGCCTCCTCTTAAAGACCCCCAGGGTAGGAGCCAGCACCACTTCCCTTGGAAGTTGGTTCCAGATCCTAGCCGCCCTGACTGTGAAGTAGTTCTTACAGATGCCTAATCTAAACCTACCCTCGAACAACTTGTGGCCGTTATTCCTTGTTATGCCAGGGGGCGCTAGGGGAAACAAGGTCTCTCCCAAACCCTTCTGGTCCCCCCTAGTGAGTTTATAGACGGTCACCAGGTTCCCTCTCAGCCTTCTTTTGTGAAGGCTGAACAGGTTCAGGTCCCGCAGCCTCTCATTGTAGGGTCTGCCCTGCTGTCCCCGGATCATGTGAGTGGTCCTCTTCTGGACCCTCTCAAAAGTTAGCTTTAAACCTGCCTCCTACTAATTTCAGTAGTTGTACCCTAGTTCCCTATTCACTTGGTTCATACCCTTCATGATTTTGCAGACCTCTATTATATCCTTCCTTAGCCTTCTTCCTTCCAAACAACAGTCTTAACCTTTTCAGTCTGCTTGTATGGCAACTGCTCCATATCGTTGATCATTTTGCTTGCTTTCTCTGAGCCTTTTATATTTCTACTACATCCTTTTTAAGATGTGGAAACCAGAACTACATACAGCATTCTAGGTGTGGGCGCACCATGGATTTATGTAGTGTGGCATGATGATATTTACTATTTTGTTTTCTTTTTCCTTCTTAATGCCCAACATTTCACTGGCATTTTATGGTTGCTGCTGCACACTGAGATGACATTTGATTAAGCTACAATGACTCCAAGGTCTCTTTCCCAAGTCATAACAGCTAGTTCAGAACCCAGTACTATGCATGCATCATTGTGGGTAGTTTTCCCCATGTACATTCCCTTGCACTCACCAACACTGAAGATCATTTGTCATATTTTGGCCTACTCAGCCTGGTGAAATGTTTCTGCAGCTCCTCTCATGTTGGGATTTGACTACCTGGGTTAATTTAGTATCATCTGCAAACTTTGGAGATTTCACTGTATAAATTTAAAAAGCAATATCCAGTTGTTCAAGAACAGACAGTAAACCCTGAATTCTCCTCTTGTATCTGAAAATAACTCTCTCTCAGACTTGATGAATACACTTTGACCTTCTGTCCCAGCCTCTCCATCTGTAAAATGAGGTAGTAATATTACATCTCCTCCTACTGGGCTCTTACACAGATCAATCAGTTCATTTTTGCAAAACTCTATGGGCGTGTCCAGACGAGCATGTGTGCACCTCTTGCAGTGTCTCAACTCCCTTTAAGATGCTTCAAGAGGCACGTTCAGGAACAAAAAAACATTCCCTGTGCTGCAAATTTGCAGTGTGGAGGCAAAATTAGACCCCTGGATATCCAGGGGTCAAAAAATACCCCAGAGGAAAAAAGCAGAGCAGGGCACACAGGCAACTAGAGGCTCAGTCCTCCACAGATGCTCTGGTAGCCAGCCAGAGCATCTCTATGGCTGGACCCTCGCCCCAGTGCTGAAGCACACTGCCTGTCCATGCAGGGCAGGCAGCGATGCAAGCTGCAGGGACCTAGTGGGTGGCAAACTGGCTTAGCAGTGGCACCCAGAGTGTGCTAGTAGATGAGTCAGACCTGAAAGGATGTGGATAATGGGGTTCCGCAGGTTTTGGTCCTTGGACCTGTATTCTTCAATATCTTCATCAGTGACTTGGATGTGGGTGTGAACTGTACTCTGTCCAAGTTTGCAGACGATACTAAATTGTGGGGTAAAGTACACACTCTGGAGGGTAGAGAACAATTGCAGGCAGACCTGGATGGTTTAGAAAAGTGGGCAGCACACAATAGGATGCAGTACAACAAGGACAAGTGCAGAGTGCTGCACCTAGGGTGCAAAAAATATCCAGCACACCTACTGGCTGGGAAGTGACCCTCTCAGCAGCACAGAAGCAGAAAGCACTCTCAGAGTCATAGTAGACTCCAAGATAAGCATGAGTTGTCAGTGTGACAAAATCATCAGCAAAGCTTACCGCACTTCATCATGCATCAGCAGATGCATGACAAATAGAACCAAGGAGGTGATATTTCCTCTCTGTGCAGCACTGGCCAGACTGCAGTTGGAGTACTGCATCCAGTTTTGGGCGCCGTACTTCAAGAAGGATGTTGATAGACTCGAGAGGGTCCAGAGGAGGGCCACTCATATGGTTAGGGTCTTACAGGACAAGCCCTATGAGGAGAGACTGAGGGACCTGGACCTCTTCAGCCTCCGCAAGAGAAGGCTGAGAGATGATCTTGTGGCCGCCTACAAATTCATTAGGGGGATGCAGCAAGGGATTAAGGATGCAGCAAGGGATTAGAGATGCTCTGTTCACCAGGGCACCTCCTGGGGTAACAAGAAACAATGGTCACAAACTGACAGAGACCAGATTTAGGCTAGACATCAGGAAAAACTTCTTCACAGTAAGGGTGGCCAAAATTTGGAATGGGCTTCCAAGGGAGGTGGTGCTCT